CTCTAAATTAAATTATCTGTCAAACCATTCTCTATTTTCTGCTCATTGTAATAATTAACTAGAATCATTTTTGCCTCGGTCTTTAAGTGCCTCTCTAATCTACTTTTTCCCCTTGTTCAACAAGCTGCTTTAACTCTCTCTCCACTGGCAATAATAATTTCCCCCTGAAAGTATGTTCTTTCCAGCTCATTTTCTCTAGAGGTTATTATAAAAAAAATGTTAATAATGCTAACAACAATAAAGAGCCAGATTCCTTTTACTAAAATTTCAGTCTTCATCATTTCTTCTCATCATCACTTATTCCTTTGTCTTAGTCATAATTTCTGCTCTAGGAAATCCCTCCTCTGGTCCCATTCACTTCTGCTCAATCTCTTTCCCTCCAATCCCTTCCCATCCATGATCTCTTCCATAATTTGAACTCAAATATCTTTTCAACCATTTTTCCCCACAGTTCATCTTAAGGAAACCCTAGTCCAAACTGTTTCCTGGGTCCCCCAAATACGCTGTGTTCTCTCCGCCTACAGCTGGGCACTTGCTCCTCTCCCCTCTCCAGCTTCTCCCCCAGCCTCTTCTGAAAAGCCAACCCTGCTACCTCCCCTTGCAGGCTGTTGGACAGAGCTATGGATACTTTAGTTTCATTCTCTAGCTTCCTCCAACCCCCATCATTCCTGTGTTCCTGTCATTCTCGTCCTTGCACTCCAAAGGCCTCCTCTTGTTCCAGAGCAGGGACAGCCTCTCCCTCCTCCTCGATGATTCATTCATACACTGCTCTAACCCAAGCTTTCCATTAGTGGTCCTTTGTGCTGGCCTTTATCTTGGTTTGGTTCATGCTGCCTTTGAGAAGGAATTATTCTTTGGCTATTTCTTTTGCCCTATTTCTCCATGAGCATCCTTCAGGCACATAACAAGTGGACAAATCTTCCACATAAAATATCTGGGTTACATTTTTAATTCTATACCCTTACTCCCTGGGCCAATAATAGAATGGATCTACAGAAAGAACAGACATTCAGTTGCTGAATGGAAGAAAAGTTTCCTTCCCTATTCAAAGGCAGCCCATCTGACTAATTAAACAAATATGTCAAAACGGTTCCCAAGAAGAACTCATATGTCAGCCAAAGAATTAAATATTTTGAAAATGAGAAGAACCACTTGGTCTATTTTTCAATAGAGATGGAGAACAAAGGAAAAGAAGAAGAACAGAGAAGAAATAAATCAGAATTCAAGCTGAAATATAGAAATCTCTAGTGATATCAGTGAAAGGGGAAAATATATAAGCTTAGAACTATGGTGAAGCCAAAGCCATCATGTATATGCCTAAGGTCTTTACCACGCTTCTGTTTCCATCAGCTTTTGACCAAAGCCACAACACCAAAAGGGGAGATGGGACTTAATGATAGAATGATGGGGAGTAAACACAAGCCTTTGGCATGATACAAATAATTCTTTAACATGGTGCACTTCAAAACTAGGAAAGAAAAAAACCATTGGGCACCGACATCAACACTTTGTGAGAATGGACTTGATATACTACAAAGCACTAATCAAACACAGGCTATTTATTATTGCTTGACAGAATTGCAAATGCCTCTCACCCACTGCTGGGTAGCAAATGCCATTAACCATGTCCCACCACCTCTCCCAAACCCACGATGGCAAGAGTAGTTAGCGGACAAAGGAGCAAAGGAAAGGACGTATATCCTCTGTAAATCCATGTCGCCCCCTAGGAAACTGAGCTCCTGGAGGCTCAAGTAGTAGAAATGAGAGGCACCCAAACACAGAATCTGTCTCAACATGGCTGTCTGCTTAAAAGATCAAATAAAAACATATGTCGGTATAAGTAGGGCAGCTGCTCTGTGGGTTTGGGTGTCCACCTTTGAGTCTTCAGGGCTTTCCATTCTCCTTAGTCAACTAATCCTACAGTTTCTGAGAAATATCAGACCAAAGAATAAAGATATATAGATGGTTTGGGTCCTGAGTGTCCCAGCGACAACAGCATTAATTCCTTCCACATAACCCAACCCATCAGAGCTGTTCAAAAAGGGCACCGCCCCGATGTTTCCATTTGGGGGCTGTGTTTAGAAATGATTAGAAATTCTTCATTCATTTCTTCAGTAAATACCTGCTGATGCTGTGCCACAGTTAATACTGGGAGTATCAAAATGAGTAAGACAAATAATACATGCATACAGCCACCTACAAAGCTTATCACTCTGGAGGTGGTAAGTACTCAATATTAATTTCCTTCTCTCTTTTTAACTTAAAGCCCTAACTTCTCGCTTACCATTTTATAGGGAACAAGGAAACAATTCTGTTACGGTGCAGTGAGTGGCATGATATCTGATATGATGCAACGTGATACGGTACATGTGATATGATATATGATACAATATGACATGGAGTGACAAGAGCAAGTGGCATGTTAGCTGAGTCTTAGGCAATAGTTGGCCTGGTGGACACAACAATATAAAGAAATAAGAGATAATTATAGTCCAATGGGTTTGCAATTCGAGAAACAGAATAAAGATTTCTTCTAGAATTTAAGCCAGTTGATTTTTTTTTTTAAAGGTACTGTTAATTTAAATGGGAATACTTACTATTTGCTTTTCCTTAAAAAAAGAGGCATTGGAAGAAAATTCAGAGCATGCCAGAGAAACTAATTTTTACCAGAAATCAAATGCAAAAGAAATTCTAAATATCTGTCAAAAACAAGGCTAACTGAACTATTTTTGAAGCAACAAAAAAAAGACCCCTGGGCGAGAAATTTTATAGTCATCCTCCTTTCTAGGTCGAACTCTTTTAGAATGAGACAAAGAAAAATCTGGACCTGGAATAAGGGGAGATGTTAGGGATCTATTCACCATACTGACAGAGATTTGTTTAACAAACAGATGAAAAGCCAGAGAAATCAGATAGCACAGGAAGAGGGAATGGATTGAGGGGAATAAATAAAAAATTATGACTCCAGAGTAAAGGGCTGTATTTTTAGAACACCCATTAAGTTAAGTTAGGTGGAAAAGAGCAAATAAATTATTAGAATATGATAAAGAAAAGAACCATTTTTCATGTTTCTCCACAAGAAAACATTCAGTTTGCTCTACAAAGATTAAATTTGATATTTTAATGTGTCCGAACAAGCATTAAATGGATTCTGGAATTAAAACATTTCTAATACTCATTCTATACACACGGTGGGGAGGGGAGAACAAGGGATGCTTCCACACAAAATCAATGACTTGTTTGGTTTTCCTTCATTAAGCATAATGAAGGGAATCTTAAAAGTATATAAATAGAATCCAAGAATGCTAGGTGTTTTTTTTTTTTTTTAAGAAATAGAAAAGCAGCATGAAGAAAAGATCTTAGGCAGTATACAAATTTCATTAAAATATAATTGGACTTGCAGGAACAATTACCGAGCTGTACTGTAAGGGGAGCTGTTGGCACATAAGAGCAAAGCACACGTATGAGCTCATCCAGCAGCCTCGGCAAGACCCACTTCCAGCGAGAAGCAGTCATGTTTCAACACCTCCAATTCCCTAATGCTGACAAGCTAAACAACTTGTTTTGTCTCTGGGAGCTCTTCTCTGGTGATTAACTGCTTATGGTGAATACTAATTATATGAAAGTACAGTATTGAAAAAGTAGTGTCCTATTTCCTCTACCTGCAGCCTTGATGTGTCTTTGCATCTGAAAGCTACTAGGTGAGAACCACCGCAAACCTAAACCAAGAAGGACATTCCCACCCCCCCACCTCCACCCAGGTAAATAAACGTATGTCCTTCTACTTTTTAGTATAAAAAGAAACCTCCTTTAACCTCTGGGCTCCAAACCAAATAGAATTACAAAAAAGAGCATTTTAAAGGCCTGTCACAATCATATGGATAAATCCGCAGCAAGAGTTCCTGAATTAGTGAACTCTCAGTGTCCTCAATTCCCCATGTCCCATGTTGAAAATTTACCCCAAATTGTCAGTTCTTAGGAACTGCACCTCAGATTAAAATCTTCTCACCAGGGAGCCTATGAGAATTTGTTCTTGTGTTTTAAATCCTGAGTGCTTTGTTAAACCGCCAACACCGCAAAATTAGAGACCATTAAACAATATAAGGCAGCAAGTGATTAAATCTACCAAATACACACTCAAAGCAGCTTAAGCTACTTTTTAATTAAAAATAAAATATCACTGGCTAAATTCAGATGTCTTAGCTATCCAGAAAAAGTTAGAAGTCTGTTCAAAATGCAAAATGCTGCTGATAAGGCCAGAGAAAAGGAGAAATAGAGTGTGTGTGGGGGTGACTCCTCCTGTCCCTGAGCCCAGGGCCGCCTGGGCCTGGAAATGCTGACCCCATTTAGCTGGAGGACGTGAAGAGGAAAGTCGTGGCTGCTCTGCAGGGTGAGGACTCTGTGGTTGCTGATCAAATAAGCTTTATTAGCTAAGGCCTCGGAGGAGACAGGGTGTTCCACCTTCTTGGCAAGGGAATGAGTTGAGTACAAACAGCACTGCAGGAAGCGAAGGCACTGGAGATGTATAGGTGGCCAAAAGAAATATTAGTCTATATTTAAATATTGCTTAAACTAATTGATAGATGATTCTTGAAGCAATTATTAGCATTTGGGGAAAAAGGCATGGGGGCTTTATGTTAATGAGATCACTTGAGATTGAAAGAAATTTTTACGGTAAAGTTAGACAGAAATAAACATTATAGCTTTAAGTTGCTCCTTATTGTTTAAAGTAAAGAAAAAAGGGCCAGGGGGCTTAGTCAACGTTGGGCAGGAGGCCAAGAATCTGAAGATCAGACTTATGGCTGGGATGATATCACTCACTCTGAAGTCCTGATAGTCTTCCTAAAGCATGAGCAAGTTTACTGGTAGAACCTTACCTCACCCACAGTTTTCTTATTTTTAGCTCTATTTTTTTCTCTCAAGAATAATTTCCCAAATCTGCTTTCTGCCTTAATATGTAAATGTTATGAATTTACACAGAGCTTCCAACATGGTCTTACCTAAAAAGCTTGCCCTAAAGTAAAGCACAGGCACTTGGTAGCTACAGGAATACAAGACATGATACTCATATTTAATCACGCCGGTTGCTGCTGCGGTCTCAGTCACTGCAGAATCATCCAGGGGTAACTCCAAAGCCTCCTGGAAAAAAAGCAAAAGCAAAAACAAAATGTATGTCAATAAAAAAAAAAAGCAGCACACTAACACGGAGAGAGAGAGATGCGGTTTTCTCCCTGCAGAGTAACAGCTCAATCAATATAGAACCATGAGGTAAGGAAAAGGGAGTTTCCCACATTAATGTGTATAATTTGAGTCCTGGGTAAATAGTAAAACCAGAAAACATTAGCATTAAGTAATTCCAGATTGCTTTTGAGAGACAGAGCAGCTCTGGGTAAAGAAATAGGAAGGGGGAAAAAAAGCAAAAAGATCTATTACAACAGCAACTCTGAAAAATCTTTACTGTTCAATTTTAGCAACAAGATGATGGCTATACAAGCTACCTCTTCCCTACCTGTGAAAGCTAAAAACATCCTAACAATTGAACAAGAGGCTGTGAAATGTCCCTAAAGATTCTATTGTACTTGCCAAAAGATGATTCATTGTGTGCTGAACAATTCCCAGTTCCATTTTGAATAAGAAAGTTATTTTGCAAGAGGTTGAGTTTGTTAGGTACGCTTCAAAACCTGAGCTGAATTTGTTTTATTATTGCACTGTCTTTGGTATATTTCTACAATAAACCTTGATTTATAATAATAGAGTAGAAGGCAAATATTAATGTCAACTTAAATAGGGTTTTGTGAGCAAAGATGGTTATAGCCAGTTCATGTCTCACCCAATCATTCTTTACCGGTTGATTTTTTTAACGATGTGTGAAGGTTTCTTAAGAATGTATCTTAATGTTTAGAAGCAATTAAATGGACATGTTGAGTCAGAATCTCATTCCACCCACATTCATTTATTTATTTGGATTAAAGAATTTCCTTTGAAATTAATTTAGTAGAAGGAAAGCAGCAGGTTGGTTTGGCTCATTGGTACCTCTCATTGAAACAGTAACAACAACAATGAGCAGAAAGAGCTACAGGAGAGATTTCAAGCTTTATCAATATGAAATAAGGATTCCTGTGGAGATAGGTAAAGCCACACACTGCTCTCCAGATCTGTATCTGTTTTTCTAATTCCCCACTCGCCATCAGTTCACTGGGGGAGATAAATCACAGCTGGAGATAGTTACAAAATAGTCTTTCACTAAACTCCCATAAACACCATCAGTTAAACACAATGAGTTAAATAACCAGAGAGAGATCACTGAAATAAGTATTCCAGATACAGAAAATTAATACAGCGGCAAAAAAGAGGTTTTTCTGTTTGCTTATTTAAATTTGCAAAGGTATCTACACCTTTTTTTTAAAGCAATTCTTTTAACCAAATTCTTTACTTTTGGTCAATGATTGGGTTGGTTAGCATTTATAATTTCTTTTCTTTCTCAACATTATAAAACATTATATCTTCGTGATAAAAAAATTAATTGCAAGCACTGCATAAGCACATAAAATGAAAGCACCCAGCACTTATATGCCTTAGACTTGTAGCCATTTTAAGCAGGTCACTGTGTATTTTTCAAGACAATGTTTACTTTTATTTTTTGGTCTACAAGTACATACACACACACACACACACATCACCCACCCCCACCTACTGCCAGTTAAATCATGCTGCATGTACAGCTGTTCTCGATTCAATTTTTCACTCATGGACATCCCACCATGTGCCGCCACATCAGTGCTCTAGCACTGTATTCCGCTGCATGACTATGCCACAGTTTTGTTTTTAACATTTCTACATTGCTAGATATTTTAGGTTGATTATCATTTTCTGTTACTACAACTAATGCTGCGATGAATATCTTAGCACATGTATCCTCTACTGCACCTCTGTTTTCTATGGTGAAGATTCCTGAAGGAGGCATTACTGTGCAAAAGGTGTGTGCACTTTAAATTCTGATAGTGCCAATCTGTCCTCAGCAAAATGTATCCCCGGCAAAAATGTACGAGAATGTTCTTTCCCATAGCCCATAAATACTGAATGTTATTTGTTTTAAATTTTTGCCTGTCTTATGAGTTTTTAAATGTCATTGCTTTAATTTCTAGTTTCTTGATTACTAGTGAACATAAAGAACTATCAGTACACTTATTGGTAATTTGTATTCTTCTGTTCTTATCCTTTGCTTGTTTTTTTATATTTAGTTTGTATTTTTTGTATTGAATTATATAAATTATTTGTATATTAGAAATAATAATTTATTATTGGATATCTATCTATCTATCTATATATCTATCACCATAGAAAAACAGAAGTGTGCAAGAATATGTGACATGTATATGTGTGTGTATGTTTAAAACATTTCCACTCAGTTTTCTTTTAACTCCATTTCTTGTACATTTTACCATAAAGATTTTTGTTGTTGTTTACTTTTATGTAGTTAAATCTGTACCTATCCTCATTAAAAGGCCTCTGGCTATGTCCCACCTCATCCTTAAAAATTACAGAGATGTTAAATTCTTCTATTCTCACACACATGCCCATGGTTTTTAATTTACGTTTAGATTGTTAAACCATCTGAGTTTTGTTTCTGTGTATGGTGTGAGGTAGGAATTCTTCCCAGATGATTTCCAATAGCCCATCTTTCCCACTGATTTTTAACACCACCTTTACCATAAATTGGATCTCTGTGTGTATATTTATTCCCTATTCTTTTCTCTTGAGCCATTTCTCTTTTTGGACCACCACTGACCAATTCTTAAGTAAATATGAATGGGGCCCTTAATTTCTGCAGAAAATCACAGAAGCAGACTGCCTGAGACTCAGTGCTGCTGGGGAGGAAAAAATCCCTGGAGAGAACGGCCTTCGCCCAAACTCAAATTACGCACCCAGGCATGTGCTGGGGTTGACCAGGTGCTTGCAACCGGTGATCAATTAGCCATAGATCTAGATTATGGAAGAGTTAGGAGGCCCAAGGCCTGAGAAAGAAGTGACAGAAGTCGCTTCTTGGGGAGCCTGTTAGCAGTCTTGCTCCAGTCATGGTTCTCACTGGAGGCTGAGTGCTTGCCTAGGATTTGAAAGCTGCAGTGCTACTCCTCTACTGGGGGCGCCGCTGTGTCCCTTACTGTGGAAAAGCAATTATGTGCAAAGACATTTTTGCATTTATGTGCAAAGACATTCACTTAACTTATATTAAGTGAATTGAGTTCTAGGCCTGTGTCTGCTAAGCCCTTTCCATCATTTGTGTTCACCTTTATGATGCCCATGCAAATATCATCCCTTGAAGTCATGTAATTTGGAAATCACGGACTTCCATGTATTTTCCACACTTCCCTTTCCAAAAGTATCAGGTAGTTTTAGAACTTCAAGACTAAGATTCTTGTATTATTCGTATTTGTATTCCCAGTGACTCTAACACAGAGCTGAGAACCACAGTAAACAATATTTTCTATTTCAGTAGCAGATCTGTTTCCTCCCACCTAAGTATACTATAACAAATTCCACAGATAGTTTATGAGCAACCCACCTCCAGCCTAAGTCTGAAAAAAAGCAAAGGATAGAGTAAAAATGCAAAAGATCACCAAAGATGATATACAAATGACAAATAAGCACAGGAAAAAGATGTTCAACATCATGAGACATCAGGGAAATGGAAATTAAAACTATAATGAGCTAGCACTACATATCTATCAGAATGACTAAAATAAATAATGGCCTCTTCAAATGTTGGTGAGGATGCAGAGAACTAGATCATACTTTCCCACTTGGGATATAAAACCACATGCCAGTTCCTTATAAAACTAAACATGTCCTTATCACACAACCCACCAATTATACCCTTGGGTATTTATCCCAGAAAAATGAAAAAAACCTATATACGTATGTTCACAGCAGTTTTATTCAGAACAGCCGAAAACTGAAACCAGTTTCAAGAGGTCATGGTTAAATAAACTGTGGTATATCATTCCACACTACTCAGCAATGCAAAGAGCAAACCTGACACCCGCAACCACCTAGGTGAATCTACCAGGAATTATGCAAGTGATAAAATCCAATCCGAAACAATAAAATACCTAGAGGCAAGTTTAACCAAGGAGGTAAAAGACCTTTACTCAACTGTAACACATTGAAGAAAGAAACTGAAGAAGATACAAATAAATGGGAGGCTATACCATCCTCATGGATAGAAAGAATTAACATCATTGAAATGTTCATACTACCCAAAGCAATCTACAAATTCAATGCAAGCCCTATCAAAACACCAATGGCAACCTGGCTGGGCATGGCTCAGTGGTTGAGCATCGACCTAGGATCCAGGAGATCGTGGTTTGATTCCTAGTCAGGGCACGTGCCCAGGCTGCATGCTCTATCCCCAGTCGGGGGTGTGCAGGAGGCAGCCGATCAATGACAACTCTCTCATCTTGATGTTTCTATCTCTGTCTCTTCCTCTCCCTTCCTCTCTCTGAAATCAATAAAGATATATATATATATATTTTAAAAATACCAATGGCATTTTTCACAGAACTAGAATAAAATAATCCTAAAATTTATATGGAATCACAAAGGCCCCAAATAGCCAAAGAAATCTTGAGAAAAAAGGACATGAAAGTATCATGCTACCTGATATCAAACTATACTACAAGGCTATGGTAATCAAAACAGCATGGTACTTGCAAAAAACAGACACATAGATCAATAGAACAGAATAGAGAAACCAAAAATAAACCCATGCCTATATGTCAACTAATCTTTGACAAAGAAGAAAAGAATCTACAAAGAATATACAGTCTCTTCAATAAATGGTATTGAGAAAACTGAACAGATGCATGTAAAAAATGAAACTAGACAATTTTTTATATTACATACAAAAATAAACTCAAAATGGACTAAAGGCTTAAATTAATTGTAAGACCTGAAACTATAAAACTTCTAGAAGAAAACATAGGCAGTAAAATTTTTGACATTGCTCTTAGAAATATTTTGGGGGGTTATGTCTCCCCAGGCAAGGGAAACAAAAGAAAAAATAAACAAATGGGACTACATCAAACTAAAAAGGTTTTGCACAGCAAAGGAACAAAATGAAAAGACAACCTTCTGAATGG